GTAGTGCAGCAAAGGAGATAACCGCCCGCATTTCCAAGGCTCGAGCAGTAAACGCAGGACTGAAACACCTTTGGTGTAGACGCGACGTTTCACTGATTTTGAAAGGTTGTGTATCGTGCTAGCGTTCGTTCAGTTTTGCTTTGTGGTTGTGAGACCTTGAATTTGAGAGCAGAAGATATCCATCGACTAGAAGTTTTCGATTACCGGTGTTTACGCAGTTTAGCCCACGTGGGATGAAGCGGAAGGGTTATTAACATGGAGGAACGTCGTTGTGTGTTTGGGAGTCTATTGGGTATAAACCTGCTAGCACACCGAATTCAGAGTAGACTTTGCTGGCAAGGGCACATGGCTAATATCAGCTGTCTTCTGCCGCACCGCGCTTCATTCGCTGTAGCTAATCCGGGGTGAAGGAAACCACGTGGAAGTCAACAGATGACATGGAAACGAGGTATGAAGAAATGCACAGAGCGACTAGGTAGAGTAGGTGTCTCTCACCTTCCACGTTGGGGTCCGAAAGACTCCGCAACCGGTTGGTTAGAGACACTGAAGGATAGAGAAATGAAACGACAGCAGTGGCGTTCTTGTTGTCATCTCTTGTCAGGTTAGAATGCTTGAAACGATATGTATACTAAGTTCGATTGAGTACTATGTTACCCACAAAGGTTCACCTTCTTTCCCCTTCAAAATAGTCACAATTCCCTTCCACCTTAAATTTTACCACTAACCTTGTATACATTGCGAGTTTGGAAGCGATCAGTGAAGTTGGCCTCACTGTATTTCGCTGTACGATAATAACGATGATGATGAGCATGATGAGGTCTTGAATTCGCATTCACGGCGGGCATTCACTAATGTTCAACCTAGGATCTGGAGTATGGCGGGGTACTCATTGTCCCCAATGCTGTTTAACTTTGTCGTTAACTGGGTAGTTCAATGGAAGGATACAAGGTTGTTCAGATTTCTTCGAACTTCTGGCTAACCGATTTGGAATTCACTATTGCCATCGTTTTTTGGTGAGAATATATCCGATGTAGAAATCTTTGACCGCATCAATCACTTTCCTAACAGCCTAAAGGTGAACTCAACTAATATGTTCGCAACATAGCCTTCGTCCCGAAAATACGTTACAACAAAAAGCGAGCCGAGCTTTAAATTACTGGCCTCAAACATTACCCTACGGACAAAGCTCAAGATCAGAATTGTATGGGGTATCTGAAAGGAATAAAACCTGAGTGAGTAGACTGTCGTTTCACATTGAGGTATTCTTCTCCTCTATGGTTTCTTTTACAATACACATGTGGTTCATTGAAACTGAGGTACGCATTAGTGGCCCAATTCCGGCAAACCGCTAGACAGGTGGGGTAAACTAGGCTGAAGATAATCGAGGCATAAAAGCCTTGACGAGACGGCGTGCGGTAAACGGAGATAGCTACTATGAATGGTTGGAAAGATCTACTATCTGGTTCAACGACTGTGAAGGAAGCCTGCTCACCTGAACGGGGAATGAGCACATACAAAGCCACCGGTAACCATGCACCAACGCACTGCTGCTTCACAGCTCAAAATTGGCTATGATAAGTTCAAATGTGTGCTCTCAAAACAAAACGGCAAGTCACGGGTACCAAACTCTCTCGAACGGCCATAAGCCAGCCGCAGTATTGTAAGTCCAACTGTGCGTCGATGTTGACAGAAAGGCGTTTCTATGGCTGACGAATTCTCTATGACGTAGGAACGAAATCGGCTGAAGGACAAAAATACTAGCTTTCTGCGAAGCAGTTCGTCCCATTCTGCTGTATGACGTCATGCGTCCCCCGGGTGAGATATAGTTGCCAAAATAACGAAACTTATCCACTTGCTCTATTACTTCTCTAGTTAGAGTATAGCTCGGTGTTGTCTTGTAGTAATATTTTGCACTTTGAACGTGGAAAGCGCATACCGAACATCGCTACACTAGCACTTGAACTATCCAGAGAAGCTCGCAACTTACCTGCATCCTCACTTGGTAGCACGATGTTGTCTGCATACTCTAGATCAGACA